CAGCCGTTTCCCTGTGATGCCGTCCATCCCATGCGCTCCCTCCGTGCCCCAAGCCCCGCTCTCCACGCCACACAACCTGCAGGGAGAAACTCAATCGCAGCCGCAGTTGCAGCAGCAGCAGCAGCAGCAGCAGCTAGGGGTTGGGGAAGGTGAGAGCGGGGAGGTGCATGCATGGCACGTGTGGCTTCTCTTCCTCACGTGCTGGGCCATGGGGCAGCAGGTGGAGACATTGGGCCAAGACAAGGCAGGCCATGGTATTAAAGTTGGTGATGGGGGTGCTGATGGGGGTGCTGATAGTGATGGGGATGGGGATGGGGATGGGGATGGTGGTGGTGGTGCTGATGCTGATCTCCCCAATGTGGCAGCACACACCAGTGGCCAGTCTACCATACCTTCAAATGTGCTCCACATGCTTCAGAGCCTTGCCCAAGGAGCTGTTTCAGCTGCTGCGAGTGCCACTGAGAATGCTGCTGCCACAAAGAACGCTGCTGCTATTTCCGTGCCTGCGCCTGGTGCTGCTACCGATAGCGGATCAGCCTATAACGGGTCTCTGCCTCGCCTGGAGTCGGCAGAGCTCGTGTCATGGCTGCTGGGTCGGCTGCCGGGCCTCTCCACCCGCCTCTCAGCCTTTGTGCTTCACCGCTTCGCCTCTGCTTCACACGCAGATGACTCCTCTCCTTCAACCACGCATGATGCCAGCAAGGCAGCACTCACGCACGATGTCCCTGCTCCTGCTGCTTCTTTCCTTCCCACCGTTACAAGCACGTCTGCTGCATCCACTGAAAGCACTGATTCCACCAATACGAGCCCGGAAGCCATTCCACGTGGCATTGCCTGGGCGCTTGACATGGCGTTTCCGGACCCTCTCAGTGCAGCAGGAATGTCACGGGCAGGAGCGGCAGGAGCAACTGGAGCAACAGGAGCAACAGGAGCGGCAGGGCCAGGGGCAGGTGCAGGGCCAAGAGAAACACGTGGTGCAGGAGGGGGGCATATGGTGCATGGTGCGCAGCTGCTGTACCGGGCATCCCTGCATGGCCGTGGCATTCGAAGGTTCATGGCTCAAGCTGAAGGCTATGGTGGTCCCTGGTTGCTGCTGCTCTCCCTCCGCCACCCGCCCTCCTCCTCCTCCTCCTCCTCCTCCTCCTCCTCCTCCTCCTCCTCCTCCTCCTCCTCCTCCTCCTCCTCCTCCTCCTCCTCCTCCTCCTCCTCCACCTCCCCCTCTCACTGTCACTGCGGGGGTCTCCTCTCTCACTGCACCCGCCTGTGCATGGCAAAGCAGCCCCCGTGGCTGGTGGGAGTGATGGCGTCTGCTGCTGTGGCCAATGCTGATACCTATACTGGTGACGCCAGGGGTTGCGCTTTAATGCAGCTCTCGCCCTCCTTCGCGCTCTACAAGCCCACTGGTGAGCCTTCTGAGACTGTTGTCGAGGCACCTGATGATGGTCTGCTGCTGTGGCCAATGCTGATACCTATATTGGTGACGCCAGGGGCTCTGTTTTCAAGCAGCTCTCGCCCTCCGTCTCGCTCTACAAGCCCACTGGTTCCCAGCATGATTTGTATTCGCACATTTATCGCACCGCTTCCTCTCCTCCCTTTCAACCCCCTGTCTACGAATCAAACCAGGTCAAGCGAATAATTTCATCTGCACTACATCCGCAAAGCTGGGGGGCGGCCCTGTTTCTCGTGCTGGTGTTGGTGGGGCTGGTGGTGCTGTGCGCGGGTCAGGGGCAGCAGGGGGGAAGGCAAGGGTGTTGGGGATAGGCGTGGGGGGCAGCAGGGGGAGGGAGCGGGTGTGGGTGGATGAGGAGTTTCGAAGCGCCATTGTGAGGCACCATGCAGTGGATAAGACCTTCCAACCGGGTCACCTGCACCCTGACCAGGTGAGCTTCAGAGAATTTCTCAGAAGGATTGAGGGTGTGGGTGGGTGGATGAGGAGTTCAGATTGCAATTGTGAGACACCATGTGGTGGATAAGACCTTCCGACCAGGCCACCTGCACCCCGACCAGGTGAGTATCCAAGAATTCCTAGTAGATGAGGGTGTGGGTGGATGAGAAGTTTCGATGCGCCATTGTGAGGCACCATGCAGTGGATAAGACCTACCGACCGGGCCACCTGCACCTGGACCAGGTGAGCTTCTGAACTTACCCACAATGGAGTGGGGGTGTGGGTTGTATGTTGGCTTCAGTTTCCCTACATTTTTTTCCATGCATATATGCTGATTTTTTCGTATATTCTCCTATGCACATGTTGGATTGAATATAATTCTCTTCGGCCAGTGTGCTACCGGCACTGCTGTGTGTTTATGTTTCTTAACGTCCAATTTCTGTGCCAATCATGCAGGGCTATGCGGAGCTGAGTGTGCGTGTAGAGGATGTGACTGTATGGGGTTTAGGTGGCAAGGCAGCAGAGGACAAGAGGGTGGCGTTTCAGCAGCGCGAGCAGCTCTTTACTGAGCAGAGGAGAAAGGTGAGCGTGGGCGAGGGGAACGGAGCAAGGGGGAGAGGATGTGAACGTATGAGGTTTAGACGGCAAGGCAGCAGAGGACAAGAGGGTGGCCTTTCAGCAGCGAGAGCAGCTCTTCACCGAGCAGAGGAGGAAGGTGAGCGTGGGGGAGAAGGGTGGAGGAGAGGAGAAAGGTGAGATAGCGTGAACAGGGCAGGGCACTGGAGCAGAGGGGGGGGGGGGGGGGGGGTGAGATGGTGGAGGGGAATGGAGCAGAGGGGGGTGGTGAGAGAGGCTATGGGGGAAGGTCAGAGTAGGAAGGTAAGAGTGGGTTCAGGGTTTCGGGTTTAGGTCCCTGACAGAAGCTGGCTCAGTGCGTTAATCCAGCACCATTGCCTCTCCTTCCATCTCAAACCTCCACCACATGCACCTCCACCACATGCACCTCCACCACATGCACCTCCCCCACATGCACCTCCCCCACATGCACCTCCACCACATGCACCTCCCCCACATGCACCTCCACCCATACACCTCCACCACATGCACCTCCACCACATGCACCTCCACCACATGCACCTCCCCCACATGCACCTCCACCACATGCACCTACACCACATGCACCTCCCCCACATGCACCTCCCCAGGTGGATTTGGCCAAGTTTGTGGGCAAGTGGGAGGATGCGCCTGAGAGGGTCATGCTGGACATGGTCACCAACCCCAACAAGCCCTCCAAGGAGGAGCGGTAGCAGCAGCTGCCTGTGTATTGAGAGTAGCTTCTTGGTATGGCAGCACGACAGGACGCACCTGAGAAAGGGTCATGCTAGACATGGTCACCAACCCAACAAGCCCTCCAAGGAGGAGCGGTAGCGGCAGCTGCTTTGTTGAGAGGAGCAGCTTCGTATGGCAGCAGCATTGAGACGACTTCAGACAGGTCGAACCAGAGAGAGGGTCGTGCTAGACATGGTCACCAACCCCAATAAGCCCAGCAAGGAGGAGCGGTAGCAGTGGAGGGTAGCAGGAGCTGCCATTGTGACTTTTGAGTCGACTCAAAAGTCACCTCGTACCAGTGGAGGGTTGCAGGAGCTGCCATTGTGCCACTGGCTGCCTTCGTTACTCGGAATAGCCTCCATGTCACAGCTGCTCTGAGTCGTCTCAAATAGGGATAGGAACTCCAACACGCCATTCACAGTGCAAACGAACCCCACCCCTGAAGGGCGTGTTGGAGTCCCTTGAGGGTCCAACACCCCATAGGGACCAGTGAGCTGGGAAGATGCCACGGCTGGTGTGGCGGTTGCACTCTCACGATGGTGCATGCACCCTAGCTGGTTGTACTGTATAGTCTCAGTTCGTCTCTTTACCACTACCGTCATCGCCCGGATATAAGACAGTGTCGAATTGAAGACATGGGGTGTCTTTAAAAACGGGTGTTTCTTATAGATGGGTGTTCCTGATTATAAGACAACTGTCGGTGTGTACGAGTTAGGCCAGTATAGGGATTAGGGGCAATCTTATGACCAGGGGGTATCTTCTAAACGGTTTTTTGTCCATTTATAAGAATTATAAGACACCCTCAACCGTCCCAATTACAAGACACAGCAAGCTTTTTTTCAATGTATAAGATAAGACATATATGTCTTCTCCGGGCGATGACGGTATAATGTGGCTACACAATGTTCAGTGTACGTAGAGCGCCAATGTAGGCACGGTACGGTATGTGCCAGGTTGATTCTATGCTGTACAGTTCCAGTTCCTTGTCGCGTCTCGCACTACCATCAGCTCCCATTTCCTTGCCTCTCTGCCTCTCAGCCTTCTGACTCCTGCCTCTGTGCCTTCCCCGCGGCACATTCATGCAAATTCTTAAAAGCGACTCCTGTCCTGTGCGCTTCTGCCACTCACCGCCGTCACTTGAGTTCACAAATGAACCGATACCGTACCTACCTTACTTCACTACCGTAGATGACTCGCGAGTTGACTCAAAAGATGAAGCGATACCTACCGTACTTCACTAGTGGGGGGGCAATATACACAACACCAAATGCAGCCAGTCTAAGCACCAGCTGTAATCTGGACTTAGATTAGGGTATCAACTGGCTGGCCAGAACACTATGTACACAAATGCCGTACAAGTACTTACCAGGTTACTCCTGGTCACTGTTACACGGACGTACCGTGTGAAGAAGCATCAAGTACCGTAGCTGTCCTACATGGGTACAATTGAGTGGTGGCCAGACTTCAACAGTCCACCGTGCCCATGCTCCTTGCAATCACTCAAACAAAAAAACCAAGCAAAACAAACCACAACAAGCAGCCAGCCATGCGCACCAGCTTAGCCTCTTCCCTCGCAGCCACCTCAGCCAACAACATTCCCTCCTCCTCCACCCCCCGTTCCAGCCCAAGTACTAATCCATCAACGCCCTCCTGCCCTCCACCGCACGCCTATCCGCCTCCTCTGCCTGCCTGCCTCCCGAGTTGATTTTTGAGTCGACTCAAAAATCACCTCTGCCGGCCTCCCTACTTCACACAGCCGCTCCCCTTTCAGGAATAAGTCAACAAATCACAGCAAGCCAGCCATGCGTGCCAGCTTAGCCTCCTCCCTCTCAGCCACCTCAGCAAGCATCCTTCTCTCCTCCTCCACCCCCTCAGCAAGCTTCTCTCTCAAAATCCCCAAGTACTTATCCACCAACGCCCGTTTCGCCTCCACCGCGCGCCTATTCGCCTCCTCTGCCTGCTTGCCTATCTCACACAGCCTCTCCCTGGTCGCCTGCTCCAGGCAGCGCATGGTCGTCCGGCTCCTCTTCCCTGCTTTTGTGCTGCAAAATTCCCGCTTACCAGCAACCTTCTTCCTCTTCCCATCACCACCAGCGGTCTTCCTGTCTCCAGCGACTTTTCTCTTCCCATCGCCACCAGCAGCCTTACTGCCCCCAGCGGCCTTCCCCTCCCCCTCCCCGTCACCAGCTTTTTTCTCCTTGCGATGATCGCTCCTGTGACTGCCCTTCCCAGCCACCCTGTTCTCACGACCAGACGAAACACCAGACAAAACACCAACCCCTCTCACAACCCCTGCCATGCCCTCTGGCTTATCAGCTGCTGTCGACGGCTTGCCGCGGGCGGAACTCTTCAAACTCTTGCGCGCAGCACCCCCACCAGCCACCTTTTGAGACGCCTCGGAACGCTTCAAAGCCTTGCAGGAAACATCCCCATCAACCACCTCCCCAACATCATCACCATCACCACCATCACCAGCATCAACCCTTCTGTCATCAGCCAAGCTATCACCACCAGCAGCAGCACCAGCAGACCTAGCAGCCCTGCGACGGCGAGGGCCAGCAGCGGCCAGAGCAGCAGCAGTAGCCGCTTCCACCTGCTGCTGCCAGTCAGAGGGGCACGGCACCCCTGCCTCACCCAAAAAGAAGCAGATCTCCTTGAACCGCCGCGGCCACCGCCCCTGCGGTTTCCTCTTCCGCTTGCGCGCCGGAGCAATGCCGTCATTTGCCCTGAGATGCTGCTGGCGGCGGTACTCCTTCAGGCTCTCGAGAGCACGGTGGATGTTGGGGGGGTATTCGTCGAACGGCTGGATGAGGAGAAGAGGCAGGGGAGAGAGGGGGAGGGAAAAGACAGTCAGGTTGGGTGCGGGGGAGGGAATGGGGGAGGGAAAAGACAGTCAGGTTGGGTGCGGGGGAGGGAATGGGGGAGGGAAAAGACAGTCAGGTTGGGTGCGGGGGAGGGAATGGGGGAGGGAAAAGACAGTCAGGTTGGGTGCGGGGGAGGGAATGGGGGAGGGAAAAGACAGTCAGGTTGGGTGCGGGGGAGGGAATGGGGGAGGGAAAAGACAGTCAGGTTGGGTGCGGGGGAGGGAATGGGGGAGGGAAAAGACAGTCAGGTTGGGTGCGGGGGAGGGAATGGGGGAGGGAAAAGACAGTCAGGTTGGGTGCGGGGGAGGGAATGGGGGAGGGAAAAGACAGTCAGGTTGGGTGCGGGGGAGGGAATGGGGGAGGGAAAAGACAGTCAGGTTGGGTGCGGGGGAGGGAATGGGGGAGGGAAAAGACAGTCAGGTTGGGTGCGGGGGAGGGAATGGGGGAGGGAAAAGACAGTCAGGTTGGGTGCGGGGGAGGGAATGGGGGAGGGAAAAGACAGTCAGGTTGGGTGCGGGGGAGGGAATGGGGGAGGGAAAAGACAGTCAGGTTGGGTGCGGGGGAGGGAATGGGGGAGGGAAAAGACAGTCAGGTTGGGTGCGGGGGAGGGAATGGGGGAGGGAAAAGACAGTCAGGTTGGGTGCGGGGGAGGGAATGGGGGAGGGAAAAGACAGTCAGGTTGGGTGCGGGGGAGGGAATGGGGGAGGGAAAAGACAGTCAGGTTGGGTGCGGGGGAGGGAATGGGGGAGGGAAAAGACAGTCAGGTTTTTAGACGTCTCAAAACAAACTGGGACGGCCTGAGCTGCTGCTGGCGGCGGTGCTCCTTCAGGTTCTCGAGAGCCCGGTGGATGTTGGGGGGATATTCGCTGACAGGCTGAAAAGGGGTGCAGTGGACGAGGAAAGAGGGGGTGGGGGAGAACACAAGGAAATGGGTGGGGTTTCGTTTTGGGGGAAACGGGAAAGGTGGGGTGCGGGGGAGGGAATGGGGGAGGAGTGCGTAGACTTTTCCCGTTCTTTTTTTTCGTTTCCTTATTTAATTCTCTCTCTTCTTTTGTACCCGATTGCCTCAGGATGTGACTGATCTTGTGACTTTTGAGTCGACTGAAAGAGTTATCCCGTCACATTTAGTTTTAGGGCGCCTTCAAAAAAAGAGTCACAACGTCACATTTATTGATTCCGTTAAATTCACCGTGTTCGCACCTTGGTGGCCTGGACCACTCTGTGGTGGTTGACTGTCAGGTCGATCGTGCCCAGAAAGCCCTGCAGCAGCCCCATCATGTGCTGCCCGTGCTTCCAAAACATTCGGTACACCTCCTCATCCTGCCATGACAGTGCCTCCCCCACTCCAGGATTTCCGGGTGCTCCGTCCGCGGCTGGCGTGCTCCCTTCTGGATGCGTCCTCACGCGCCATTCGCTGCGCTTCATTGCTGGCTGAGGGAGAAGAGAGGAGAGGCGAGGATAGGGGGAGAGGAAAAGAGGAGGAGAGGAAGAGAGATGAGAGTAGGCGATCGTTTTAGGCCCCTTAAAAGGTTTCGAGCTGAAGACAGCAGGTGTGCCTCCTGAACGACCTCACGCGCCACTCCGTCCGCTTCATTGCTGGCTGAGAGACAACCGGAGTGGAGAGGAGAGAGAAGGAAGGAGAGGAGGAGAGAGGAGGAGAGAAGCTGAGAGGGCTGCAAGGAGGTCAGAGGAACCGATAAATGCTCAAAAGAACAAGGTTCGCCTTAGAAGGAAGAAAGAAATAAACACCATCACCTACAGGCTTTTCCCGCCCTTTCGAGACTATTGTTGCCAAGCACTGCCACGAACTCGAAAACTGCCTGGTAACAGAGAATCCGTCTTCGTGGAGAGACTACGGGTGCGGACTGGTAACAGGACACTGGCTGGCGACGTCAAAGGGCGAGAGGTAAGGACAGCGCCGACACGGAAGTATTCGCTAAGCGCGTCGGACGCAAGCAGGCGATGGTGCTTCGTGACTTGACTATCACAAGAAACAGCTGTTACAACCGGGGGTCAGCTAGTGTGCCGATTCAACACGTCCTGTAACCAGCTACAAGTCGGAATTACTGGAATAGAAACCTACAATACTGCCCCTCACAGACGCTCGCTGCCAAAATCCAAGCAATTTATGGCCTGAGAAGTTTCCAAACAGTAGACGTTTTGGTAACACAGTTGGCTTGTTTCGCGAAGCTGGTTGGCTTGTTCCTTGTTACCCTGAAAATGGAGGTGGATTTGCGGATTTTTTCCACGAGGCTTGCGCAAGCGATAGAAAACGTTTCGCGATGCCAGTTGGCCCCTTATTCCCCACAACTCCCCTGGGTCGTGATTCGTGGCGACGCATCTCGTAATGTCTGACGAAATTCAATCGAGAATTCGTCCGTTCGTTTTGGAGATCCAGTTACAGAAAAATAGCCAACTGATGAATCGAAGCCACAAGGTTGCTAATCCAAATCCACAATCCACATCTGCCCAGGCGTTATTTCAGCAGCAAATAAGCTTTTACGTGACGCCAGCCATGCTGGCTCGAGGCGTCGCTGCGCCTCGTCCTCTCGCTCTCAGACCTCGTCGATCCTCCTTGCTCCAGTGCGTCCTTCGTCTCTCCGCGCGCAATCTCCCCGTCATTTCCTCCGGTAGCGCGAAGATCTTCGCGAATTCGAACGAATTCGCCATGGCGAACCCCCTCGCGTTACCACCTATAAGGCCGCACGATGGCATCGTCACTTGTTACCCTCGCCATTCCAGTTTTTTTCGGCACGAAAACGCGTCCACAGCGCGTTTGACTCGAGTACCCGTTCAAGCGTCACATGCTGACTCTGGGAAACACGTAATCACCGCTACTTCATGTTCTCGCTCTCTCGGTTCGCTTCGCTCCTTAACCTCCGCGTCGTCGTCGTCGTCGTCCGTTACCGTTAGGGTTAGCCGCGTCGCTCGGATCGACAGCGTCGTGGTCCGAGCTGGCAGTGATGCCCTTGCTGACGTGGAAAATCTGCCAGATACGCCAGGCCAAAAGGAAAGAATCTCACCTAAAGCACCTGATGGGGTTGAGGCTCAGGACATGACGGGAGTGGCGCTACGACGAAATAAGTTAGTGGTGCAACAAGAAATAAGGTTCGAGCAAGAGGAGATGATCGAGGAGCAGGAAGCGTTGATAGACGAGCACGAGCCTAGCGCGATGGAGGGCTGGCAGGAGGACAACGGACGGCTGTTATTGATCGACGGCCATCCTGTAGTGTACCGGGCTTACCATCAGATATCAGGCGAGTCCGATACTCCCAAGGTGATTTTGAGATTGCTCGGTAGCAATTTTAGTGTGCCAGACTTACCAGGGTCCGCGGATTATCAGGCGAATTCGCTACTTTGAGGTGGTTTATAAGAGTACAGAGCATACCACCAAGCATCAGGTGATGGCTACTCGCTCATCCTCTAACTCTCTTTCCTGTTCAATGTCGTGTGATCTCACTTGCATCCCGGTTAGTCTTGCAGCATGGGTACACCACAGCTGGTTTTGGAGAACTCTAAAAAACCCAACTACTTTTTTCTCTTGCATGCCGGTGTGCCTCGCAGCGCGGTTACACCACAGCGGTTACAACACCTTCGCACACGACGAGGACGTCATGGGCACGCTCTTCAAGTCCTTCGAGCAGGTGCGTGCGTCTGTTGCACGTCGTTTGAGGTCAGCTGCATGTGCTTCCCAAGGGCTTATGATGCTCTTGGAACGAGGACGTCATGTGCACGCTCTTCGAGTCCTTCGAGCAGGTGTGTGCGTGCGCTGCAACGCAAGTCGTTTCTGCAGATGCGTGTGCTCCCAAGGGCATCAGAATGATGCTTTCTGAACGACGAGGACGTCATGGGCACGCTGTCCAAGTCGTTCTAGCAGGTGCGTGTTGTTTGTTGCAATGCTAGTCGTTTCTGCAGGTGCATGTGCTCCCAAGGGCTTCAGATTGATGCTTTCTGAACGACGAGGACGTCATGGGCATGCTGTTCAAGTCCTTCGAGCAGGTGTGTGCGTGTGTTGCAACTTGCAAGCCGTTTGAGGCCAGGTGCGCACGTTGCAAGTCCTTTGGACAGGTGCATGTATTGCTTACCTGTTCCTCAAGCAACAGCAGGTGGGTGTGTGGATGGATTTCCACCCGACACTCCATCTCCTCTTACCTCTGACTGGTTTGTGAGGCAGCAGACAGCCTCAATTGAATCTTACATTGCTTCCCTCCCATAACCCACCCCTCCCTCGCTTTCCCACTCTTGTCTTTGGCATTTTAGAATACCTGCCGCAGCCCATCCCTTCCTCATTTACCATCTCTTTGCCTGACCTCCATCCCTTTCGTACCTGCTCTACTCTGTCCCATATGCCTGTGTTTGTGTTCTGCGGTGGTAACGTGGTTTCAGATCGTCAACCTTCTAGCGATGCTCCCAACACACGTAGCAGTGAGTGTGGTGGGGTGTGACGATGTGTTTATTGAGTTTTTTTATCTGTGTGACGCATAATGGGGAAGAGAGAGTCGCGTGCAGAGCACACAACACTCATGTCTCTCCATATCCCTCCGACCTGCACAACATGATATGATATGATATGATATGATATGATACGATATGATATGATATGATATGATATGATACGATACGATACGATACGATACGATACGATACGATATGATATGATATGATATGATATGCTATGATATGATATGATATGATATGATATGTGGTTCGGCATCTTGCACGCACTGTCACAAAGCTTCTCCTCTCCTCTCTTCATTCCATTAATTCCTCTTTCCTGTTCTCTCCTTCTCTCTCTCTCTTCTTCCTCCTGCACGAAATTGCGCCGTCTTTTTCCTGCCCCGCGGCCTCCTGCTTGTGGCTCCTCGGCTCTGCCCAGCTGGTGTTCGACCATGGGGGTGAGTGAGTCAGCCATTGTTTACCATTGTAACATACAATGCATTATGTGATTCCATGTTGTGCGTACCACTTACACTTTCCAGTTCGCCTCACAAACGCAATTCCAGTTCATGGCGCCTTTTAATGACAATAAGACTCATGCCGAGTTTTCACAGGTCGTATAAGTCTTGTCTCTTACTCCCAGCTCTCCCCCCTCTTCCTCCCTCCCCCTGTCAACCCCCCCTTTCCCATGCAGACTGCTGTAATATCTTATATACAACACGCATATGCTAGAATAGGTGTAGGATTGTTGGGTGTACCTTCAACCACAATTTGTGGTTGAAGCTTGGTTGGGTTCCCAACAATCATTGGACCTCCAATAATGCTGGTTCAAACCCACTCAACAATTATCGGAGCTCCAATAATGTTGGTCCAACCAAACCAACACTTATTGGGGCCTTTAATAATTGTTGGCCAAGCTCACATATCCTCCATCTATGTATACCTTGCCTCTCTTGAGCCCATCATAAATACAACCTTTGCTAGCACAGACACCACGTTCTGTCACGTGATATTCCAGGGCTACGAGAGCATCACAAGTCATTCCTAGGGAGATGACTTTCGGGTCGACTCACAAGTCATCTCGCTATTTTCCAGGGCTACAAGAGCAGCAGAAGTCATTCCTAGATCTCATACTCACCTTCTAACGCCTTCCTCTCCGCTCATCTTCCCACGCAGACCCCACGTTCCGCCACGACTCCTTCCAGGGATACAAGAGCACGCGCCCGCCTCGCCCTGACGCCGTGTCACGAGCCATGGAGCTCATGCAGGCTGCTCTGCGCGCGCTGGAGCTGCCGTCCTTTGCGGTGAGTGCACGGCTTGAGGCTTGAGGTTGTGTGGTGCAGTGCGGTGCAGGGTTATTGGATGCTCTCAATGCCGTGGCACGAGCCATGGAGCTCATGCAGGCCGCGCCGCCCTGCGCGCCCTAGAGCTGCCCTCCTTTGCAGTGAGTGGCGGAGGGGAGCTTTGAATTGCTGGTATGCATCTGACGCCGTGTCGCGAGCCATGGAGCTCATGCAGGCTGCTTTGCACGCACTGAAGCCGCCCTCCTTTGCGGTGAGTGGCGCATGTGAGATTGTGGCCACCGGGGTGGGCTTGTGCGTTTCCCGGACGCTTGCAGGATATGGGACGTGCTAGCAGCGCCTGTGGAGTGTGTGTGTGTTGCATGTGTGTATGCCTGTTCTTGAGCGTGCATGTGCTCTGCCCTTGTGTATGTGCCTTGTGCATCGCTCTGCCCACAGATATCCGGAGTGGAGGCGGACGATGTGATTGTGAGCGACTCTCACGACAGAGGCACAGTGACTGATGCTGCTATGCGGCCTTGGTGTGATGTTGCCTTTGCCTGTGTGTGTGTATCGTGACCTTGTGTATTGTGTCCTTGTGTACCCATCGCTCTGCCCACAGATATCCGGAGTGGAGGCGGACGATGTGATTGCGACTCTCGCAACAGAAGCGCTGCAGAATGGCATGAAGGTGGGCATGCTGCAAGA